AACACACGTCTTGCGACAAGCTACCCCCAGTTCGGATCATCCTAACAATAGGCGCANGATTGTGTGGTACGTGGAATGTATTTCCAGGATGTGCAAGGTACCCCTGTTGTATACTGCGTCGCCCCCTCATGGTGGTGCGTGCACGCGTGCGTTCAGTGTGTTTTATGTAAGTTCATGTGAGTTCATGTGAAGAAGAAGTTTATGCAACAAACCCTACACGTCTTTCCTCCTTGGCGCGAGCTCGCCGAGTTGCCGACACCCTATTCAACACACGTCTTGCGACAAGCTACCCCCAGTTCGGATCATCCTAACAATAGGCGCATATGCCTGCACAGTCTGCGAGGCCGCGCTCTGGTAGCCCCCGGTTTCAGATGTGGCGAGCATCAGCCGTGTAAAGGTCAGTCCGTTATTGTCCTGGTATCCTTCCAGGCAGGGCAGATTGGTATGCCGAAGTCTGGTCCGGCGTAGCACTAGGTCCGGGATCCGAAGGGGCTTTCTCCACTCCCAACAGAACCTTGTGCAGCATGTCCTCCATAAACAAGGAGGTCTGCAGGGTTCGCCAGCCGACATAGTCGCCTGGGTCACCGCTGAACTTGGCGAATCCTCTACGGATCTCGCCTGACGAGCCGGTAGCCATGCTTGCCGACTCTTGTGACTCCGGTGTACAAGCTCGAGCAACTCGAGGCTCAAAACCTGTTGAGGCAACAGCACTGTCACTGCAGTTGCTGTACGGCTATTCCTTCAGCTGTGGCTACAAAGTAGCTGGCATGTGATGCGAGGTTAGGTAGGCAAACACACAGAGTGATATTATTATCCACACAGGCGCCCAAGCTGTCTTCACCTGACGGTTACAGACTTGGCAACGCCTTCACAATACCGCATAAACCCATGCAGTAGAATAGAGTTGTTCTTGTACTGCAATTACTCCAACAGTTCGACAGTGCGAAGATGTGTTCGATGGGGTTTCAGTTCGACTGGATGGTGTCAGCTTGATAAATCACGGACACACCATCGCACGAATTCAACAGCGGCAACGATCCATATACCGAAACACGACTCACTTGCTGTGGCAGTACTAGCTAGCACCACAGGCTAGGAGCTCCTGCTTCACGGGTCTGAAGAAATTCTCCACGAATCTGCTCGCATGTGTGCTTCTCACATTGAAATGCTTGTGGCACAATGATATGCGTGGATGGTGTGCGTGACACCGGAATCTGAGCTTTGGTCGTACTTTCGTCGTCGTTGTCTACAGCGGTGGTGTCCTTCGTTGCATGGTTCGGGACGGCCGAATAACATGTGCACGAAAATGGGCTTCCTGTGCACATCGGGATTTCACCTTCACCTGCGATGCGAATAGATGAGAGGTCACCATGCTCTTCTGGTTCGCAGCCGTGGAAGTCATAGGCAGTATGTCCGTGTCGTGTAGTATGATGTGTCGCTGCGCGTATTGGTCCAGTCTCGTGCGTATAGGTCCGGGGTACCTTCAATACCGATGCCATTGTGATGATTTTATTATTATTTTTTTGTTTGCCCTCCGACAAGTGCAGATAAATCCAGACATACATAAAAAGTCGATCGTAAAGGCCGTCATTCCAAGCCAAATTAACTCGATGCCCAATAGCTAGGAATGTTTGCCTCTAAGTCAACAAAACTTTTGTCGAAACACTACAGCTGAACTCTAGGCACGAACCTTAGATGGAGAAAAACGAACAAAACCCCAACCTCATCCACCCGAAATCAAACAAAACTCGGCCCCGTCTTCCCTGGTACCCCTGACACCGTATTGAACAGAAATCCGCTTTCCACCGACGTGGTTAGGTTAAAGCTGTCGCACGCATATTTCGGCGCGCAAAAGTCTGTGCGACATTGCTGATCGATATTGCCACCGGTCACACCAAGAGAAAAACATCCGCCGTCTTGCTCTTTCTGAGGCAATCCCCATTCAAGCCCATGCTCCCCCAGACCCCCGACACTGCCACCCCTTGTTCCCACTTCCTTACCACCTTCAACCACAAGGGCCAAGCCCTCCCCCCTCAGCACTCCCGACATGATGATTGTTGTGCGTATCGCGGCTGCATTTACTTACGCACGTTACTCCGGATACGTCTGCCGAGACCTGCACCGACATCACGGTGGGAGGGCCGAATATTGCTGCTGTATATCCTTGGAATGCTGTGTTGTTCGTTTATCTAACGTTTCGAGACCACGCGAATTGTTGTCATGTGCACGCATAGATATTGTAGTCCAGACCGTGTAAATAAAAAGCTAAAACATTGAAAAATTGTGTTGAAAAAAACCATCACTATCGTCTGTAATAGTAGTGTGTCCGACGATGTGATTCCTCGAAATATTTTACTGTAGTAGTACCTTGATGAGAGGATGACAAAGAGCGAAGCAACCAAAATCGTTTTGAGTCCATCCTCAAATCCACTGCTGCTGTGTTGCAGGTTCGGTGGGTTCGGTTCTGTAGTGAACAGCTTGCAGTCCTGCAGTGCTGTAGTGACCACTCGTGAGCGTAGACGTCATGACGAGGGAACGGCCTTGTGGTTTCCTTTCCCAAAGATCCCGGCAAGAAGATTTCCTGCGGTACGCATGTTGCCGTGGAGAGATGAATTTGGCTTGATTTTATTTTATTTTCTTAGTATCACACAACAAATCCATATCATCTATAGAAATAAGTCTAAGATAGAGTAGCGTGGTGAGCGAAAAGCTACCTGTATGTCTACGGTTTCCGAGACAGCATACAACGATATCTCCTCTGTGGGTAACAGGCTCAACAAGGCGGTTTGGCAGCCATCTTGTGTATCTATCTGTATGTGACGTTGGGAAGTTGTAGACGGAAGATTTAGGGGAACTCGAATGAAACAAATATGAAGAAAATGCTGCGCTGTGTTATTATTTTTTTTGTACTCCCATCATCGGATTATATCGTCTGCCCCTCTGGCCCCTATCCTCCACTTCTACTAGGACGGGCGACTTCCGAAACGACTGATGTTCGGCGAACTGGCAGGGGGGGAGAAGTGACGTAGATGGGGACAGAAACAGAACTGGCCGAAGTGTGTGCTCGACGACCTGAAGGCATTCGGGGCCGACCACGGATCTACGAAAACCGATCCATGTTGTCTCGGAATCCCGGTACCGAAAGACACGGCACCGACGTTTCAGTGGACGGAAGCCGCGAAGGTGGAGCGGGGAGTACCCTGGCATGGGGCGGTGCTGCAGGGAGCTGAGAGGTTCATGACCTCCTGGCACGAGAAGGAAGAAGACGCCAGCCGACAACGGGCGCTCAAACGACACCACAAGCCACCAACCAATGGGGCGAGAGGGGGGCAGGAGACGGACGAAACGGCGAGGGAAGAAAGCAAACGAGAAGAAACGGACCGAATGGCGCGATACGTGCCGGATTGAGTTTCTTTTAGCCAATTCCCCCCCCCCC